CTTTGTCTTCCAATCCCCAGTAAGGTGGCTTTACTAAATCCCCCACTTGTTGCTGTTTATAGAATATCCTTGTCTCTTTTCCTTGTCTTCTTTTAATCTGTGCTCATGGTAATGAGAAGAACAAATGCTCAGGGTAAGGAGAAGAACAAAGCTGGGGGGGGGGCGTGGTTGTTGGGGGGAGTGTCTTTGTTTCTGCTTACTGTTTTGGTTTATCAGCCTAAAAGGGAGTGGAAAACAGTGTATTACCTTATCATTGCTTCCCCATATGCTATCAGTTATAACATGTACAGAAGTTGCATCTGCAAAAATTGAAATGCACACGTTCAAGTAATTTGGCTAGATTCCATTCTTTCTGCAAGTGCCCATAGGGACCAGTTCTGGATTGTCATTTTTAAATAAAGTGTGCTTTTGTGAGTTTGTGTGAATACTTGGGTTTGTTGTCATATAAATATTTTTAACATTTCTGCTTTATTTTTGTGGGAGTTTTTTGTTTGTTTTCAACTTCAGTTAAATCTGGCAAGTATTACACTCATGGCTCATGTTTCTCTTAAAGTCACGAAAAGCTAAGACAAACAGAATGCAGGAGAAGAGAGGCTCAGTTTTCTGGTTCAGGGGCCAGAATCTAAAGATCTTCCATTTGAAAAATCAGCACCCTTGATAAACAATTTGCAGAGCATCAGTTTTCCCCAAATGTATGCTCCTGCTTCACATTAAATTCAGAGTGACTTATGTCTTTTTCAATACGTTTGCATGTTTTATTAAGAGAATCTGATGCTCTGTGCTTATTAGGTTCTTTTAAATTTTCTTTTCCAATTACTGCACAACAAGTAAGTATTCTTTTTTTTTTCCTTTCTAACACTGACCCAAGTTGCACTTTCTTTTCATTATCCTTTTGTTACAGAAGGGCTCCTGTCAGTTTCTGTGCAAGACTGATGGCCAGCGCTGCTCATCCTTGCAGAGTTCGTGCAGGCTGGCAAAAAATAGATGCCTTTTTGTTTGCTTTCTAGGTCACTTTTGCATCTACTCTTTTTTGGCCGTGAACAGGAATAATAAGTAATGAATGAGCAGTCATGGCCCTTAGTAAACTGGTATTTGTAGATATTAGCTATGTGCATTTCACATAAAGCTTTTTATAAATGATCAGAACTTGGCTGAGGATGCCTGAGTGCAAATGACTAAGATATTTTAGGGGTGCTTCCATTCATGATTGATTTGCACCTTATCTTGTCTTCCCAACTATTCCTTTTTTCTAATCTCTTTCTGTCTTACATGTACAGTTCATGAAATTTTGTAGTGAATAACGTATTTCCTACATTTGTTCAGCACTTAAAACAATGGTCTTTTTGTGGGCTTTGAATAACTGTAGTCACTTTTTGGTCTGCTTTCCAGGCCAGAATAGGAAACAAAAAAAAAATCAATTTAACAGTGAAGTTTTCACTAAAAGCTTCCAAAAAAAAAAAAAAAGTTTAAAGTTGTTCTCCTTGTAGAAGCTCCCTTTCATCTCCAGATTTTTTTTTTTTTAATTAAAGAACATTTGAATTTAAATGTAATGGGAAGATAAAATGAACACTTAATAAAACAAGTGCTTCTATACTTAGGAAAGACCCAATTGTTATCAGTGGAAAATTCCAGGCACTGTTGCTTTTAACGTCATATTAAGTGGCACCTAGAAGTGTTTTGTGTTCGTAACATTTGCCAGAATATAAATGGAAAGGATTTCTGCCAAAATAATATTGGTGTTGCGTGGAGCATAAAGTAATGTTATAACAACACATAAAAGCCAGAGGAGTGTAATTGTTCATAGGAAGATAAGCAGAAGAGGGTATATAATCTAGCCTGCAGCTCTGGGAGTGCCGGTTTCACCCTTTAAGAGTGTAGTAACTTAAGGTGGCAGAGATGAGAAAGTCACGGACTGCTGAGTGGCGGCAACCTCTTGTAATGAGATTGTCCTTGCCTCATACAGTAACAACACGCATCTGTAGGGTTCTTGCAAAGTCTTTTCAGAGACGACTTAGTTTGTTGTTTGAGACTTTTGCAGAATACCATCAAGGAAGCTAGAGGGAACGAAATGTTGCCAGTTAAGCGGTGGCCAGCATTCTGGTTCACTTCCCTTACTAATCCCCTGTTATATTCCTGTTTTATTCAGTAACCCCTGCTGGGTGCAGATTCTGAGCACATACAGATCTGTCACACGTACAGTCTCTGACTGTAGGCTAGGACTCTGCTGCTGGTCCTGTGTGTGCTCTCATAATTCAGATAACCAGCAGAGGACTATTTTGAAAGATAAGAAAGTTCAGGAGACTTTTGTTTTTATTCTTTTATGCCACTTCCACATAGAAGTTTATTTTCTCGAACTGATTGCATATCTGAACACCAGGTCTTGGCCGGTAACTTGACAGTGTCACAGCAACTGCATAATAGTATTTTTTCCAGAAGCTTAGAAAAGATTCAGTCCACAAACTGATGCTTTTGGAGGGTTTGGCACTGTCTGGAGTTGAGATAATTCAACTTGTGGTTTTGTGTTCATACTAATCCAGCACAAAGCTGTGCCACTGCAAAACGTGTTGTCTCGTACGCTGCTTTTCCACTTAACAGTGTGTGCCAGCACTAGATTTCACATGGCCTTGTACAATGAATTTGGTAGGAGCCTGACCTAGATACAAATAACCTTCATGTGTATGGGATGGAGGGAGAGTGTAGGACTAGGGCTGTCAGAAGGGAGCTGAAAAGTACGAATGTTTGAAGTGGTGAGAAGGGACAGGAGAACAGGCCCCACTCCCTTTGATAGCACTGCAAATTTATGCCACGTTTAAGTGACCATGCAGTTGCTATCAAAACCCTGTAACTATGCCATCAGTAGCAAAACTCTGCTTTTTTTTAATTATTATTTTTTTCCTCCATGGTGGATAACATACCTGACCTTAGCATTTGTTTTCTTCCATCTCTCTTAGTATCCCAGCAACCATGTACTTGCTATGCTTCGCTCTTAATTCATTTGTAAGCTATTGTGGTAAGGGATCATGTCTTCCTCTCTTGCTGTGGTTATCAAACCCGACCTTGATAAAGTTCAAAAGCGTCAGCTGCAGTATAAACAATGCGGGGGAAGAAGTAAATGTACAAATAACAGTAACTCGTAGGACAGTCAAATTCCTCCCTGGCTTACGTGGGTCAAGTCCATGAGGTCTTCAATAAAGCACGTAATGCCTTGTGTGCAATGGGGATTGCATTTGTGAAAGAGGCTTCGAAAAACTTTCTTGAAGAAGGTTTAACGGCTAGAGGGAGTGCTGCCGTTAGGAGGCATTTTAATGCTGTTATTCTTTATTCTTTTCCTTTTTGAAAGCTTTCCACTTTCTAGAATATACGATGATAGTGGTGTTGTCTGTAAATAGTCAGCATTAACATTTTAATTTTTTATTGGAAAAGCTTTAAAAAGTCATACAACAGATGCAGTAATGCAGTTCCATCTAACCGAAGAGAGGCACATTGGCCCTCCCTTGCAGAACAGAACAACTCATTATCGCAGTTTTAAACCCTTGCTGCAAAGAGGAGAAGGAGCGGGTTAGTGCACTAGCAAAAGACTTTTTGTGCTTGCTTTGTAAAGCCCTGTATGAAATTGCAATGCCAAACTGAATGGGTCTGATTCTATAATGGCAAAAAACCCACATGAAAGTGGCGGGGGGGGTTGTCCTTTTTTTGTTTATTGTTTAGCCAATTTTGAGACTCCAAATTACAAACTCTAATTTAGACTACTGCAAACTGGGATAACAATTAGTGCATCTGTCACGCTGGCTGCTTATTCTGTAGAAATCCTTTGTGTGGCATCCATGTAGTTCAACTGTGGTATATATTTTTAAGGCGAGCCCTTTCTTAAGTGAGTTTTGATCTTGTTTTTCAGTCTGTGAATTTGGATTCTCCTCTGAGCATAGTGTAGTCAGTTCTGTCCCTAGTCACACGTACTTGGTCCCAGCATAATTTAACCCTAATACTGTGAAGAAGTCCTGATATGTCATCAAGTAAAGGCTGGCTTGCCCTTTAGTTCCTAAACTTTATTCAGTGCAGATCCTAAAATCTTAAAATCTGAATCTTCTTTCAATTGTTCGTGAGATGCTTTTTCTACTTTTCTTCTTCTTTTTAGTTTGTGTTTTGTTTTGGTTTTTTCTCCTGATAATCTTATCTCAAATTGTCATATCTCAATTTTTATTCCATCAACCTTAGTTTATATGGACTCCTAGCCTATGAAACAAAGTATTTGCTGCCTGATTTCATGTCTCTTCAGCCTTTGTGGTATTTAGCTCTTTACTCATAAATCACTTTTTCTAAGCTTTTTAATCATTAGAGTTGCTCTTCTTTGAACACGTTCTACTATTTCAGTGACTTTCTGGTAGTGCGATGCCCAGAACCGAACATGTTCTTCCAGCGGGTTTATGCCAGAGCTATTTAAAGTCACTGTCTTATTCCTTCCCTCACCTCCTTTCTCTGTGACCTGGCATATCATATATAGGCAATTCAGCCTTGCGTTAAGCTGATTTTCAGGCAGGTTAAATTGTGAGCTCCTGTCAAGTTTATTCTCCGTGTTAGATGTGGTCCCTCTCATATGAATTACTTTGCAGGTTGCATGTCTGTATAAAGTATGTGTTTGGGAATTTTTTTCCAAGCCTTATTGATTTTTTTGATCCCCCTCCCCCCCGTGCTGGATTTCACCACTTGCTGTTGGCAATGCCTCTCTGTGATACGTCTATATTTCTCAGTACCTCACAATTTGACGATATTTCAATTTTGATTTTAATTATGTCCTCCTCCTCATTAAAAATTCCTCAAAGAACGCCACACGTACCATGGCTGGAATCAGGGTGCAAGGGCATGATTAGAGTTCTCTCCCCCATGACTGCTGGAGATTTGTGGAAGTATAGCAAAATGTGATACAGCCTAGGTGTTGCTGCCAAGAATTGTAGTGATTATATCCTGCTAAGCAGAAACACTGTCTTCCCTAAATGGCAAAGATGGAGCAGAGTGGCGTGGTAAGTGGGTGGTGGTGAAATACAGACACCACAAGTCAGGGTTTCTTGAATCAGTCCATAGCCTTGTTTTTACCCATCCGGGAATCTGTTACAATGCTTCTTTTTGGCTGTTCTTTCTAGTGTGTTTCAGCAAGGCGTCTTTCTATAGAAATGATTCCTTGCCTTGCTTTTAAAGTGATTTAAAATTAGGGCCTGATTCCATGCTTGCAGCCTCCTCTCGCTTTTCCTGCCTGAGAGCCACTAGCCCTGTCGTGTTTTGCTGGCAAGAAGATGGATGATCCTCTGTGATTGTCAGAATTAAGGGAGCTATTGTGAGCTGAAACACTCAGCCTGATGTTAGGAAGAAATCTGGGTGGGGAGGAAGGGATGGGTAAATCCTTCTTTCCTTACCCAGGGCAGGGAGCAGTTGCAGAGCTCATCAGGGACTGCTGCTCTGCCTTTATAGGTCTAATCCTTTTCCCATCACAGGGGAGCAAAGAGCAAGAGGCATCTCTGTGATAATAGTGTATTTGGCCTTGCTGCTGTCACATCCACCTCTTCTTTCTCCCTCATCGCCCAGTGAGGTGGTAGGGCAAGTACTGTGTCCCTGAAGCACAGCCTGAAACACTCTATGTCCCTGAAACACTCATATGTTTCCGCCACTGTCAGTCGAACAAAAGGAACCGTTTGTGTTCTGCTGACATTCGTTGTGCTGATTCTTTGCCTTGGATTAGCTGTGGATGCAAGGAATTCTCTTTCTCCTGAATAATGAACGCCTATAAATGCAGCAGGAGAGGAGGTTTTATGATAGCACAGGGCAGTGCAAGCAGTTGGCCAAAAGGGATTATTCACGTAGCATAACTTTTGGCACTCTGCTAGCTGTTAGTAGTGGGCTGTGAAAATTTTACAGCTGTAGTATAGACAGTGCTAAATTATTTAAACTGCAACTTTCAGAAAAAAAAACCTTTAAAATCCATTGCCTTTTTTGAGATCGGCTATCATTTTGACACTTTTGGACTCCACCTTTACTTTGCGATACAGCACGTTAGGTGGAATGCTGTGCTACTCTGTGTGCTGAGACACTGAACTGCTTCAGGCAGAAACTATGAGCATGTTTGGAGAAGATAATTTTAATTAGCACAATTAAAAAACCCAGCTGTTATTGGCCTAAGTTATCCAAATGTTGTTACCCTTTAGTCCAGAGAAAAATTATTTTCCCACTGTTAAGAAACATGATGGAATCAGTCAGCAATGTGTGTTCTAGTAATAAATATTTGCATATAGGCTAGTACAGCAAAGATTTTTTTTTTTTAATTTTATTTTTTTTCCCAGCAGCTAGCTGTGTCTCAGCAGTGACTTGAAGGCTTGCCAGGTCGTGAAAGTCAAGGCCAAGCCCTTGTCAAAAAACAAGCTAGTGAGGACCTTTGGACGCCACTGTGCAAACGATACTGTTTTAACTGAACAGATGTTCTCAATCCAAGGCTGATACCCTTGGAAGGGGTGCCAGGCGACAAAAATAGTTGTATTTTCTAGGGCAGATGGAAAGGAATGCTGCGTGTTTTAACTTGGTATTTTATTTTGTAGTTGTGGAGGATTGAACTTGAGGACTTGGAGTTGTGGATGGCTTTCTGTATATGAGTACTAAAGTGTATCTTGCTCTCACTATTTGGTTTGATGTCCTTAGGAGACAAAATATTCGAATGTAAGTAGACCACCTGTGTGTTACCACACCATTCAAAGCAGCTAGAAGGCTGTTTGGAGTAGTCAACACCATGTGCTCATAAATGAGTGAAATGTCTTGTTATTCTGGGAAGTGCTAAGAGGTATTTTTAGCATATTCTTTTTTTTTTAAATTGGCTGAAACATGATACCAGAAACAGAAATATTTTTTGTTGTTGTTTTCATCTGTTCAGAGTGACAAATTGAAGCACACAGTTATAATACAAAATAATATTTTATTTGTTGTTACATATGTATATTACAGAATGTGTACTCCATAAAATTAGATATATTCCAAAGCCAAAAGCATCTCAGTCAGTCAGCTAAGGAGGCTTTATATATTAGATTTTTTTTAAAAAAACACACTATCATTAGCATCTCATTGACAAAATATTACTCTGTTATTAACCTTGCAAAACTCATTGCCTTGCTTTTCAGCAGCCTTAATATTTAATTAACTTCTTGTATAGTCACTTATGGTACCAAAGTTGAAGGGTTTCTTTCTAATTTTAGTGCAAACAATTAAGTTTGCAAAGGTGCTAGATTGAAGTAATGGGCTTGCTTTGAAGAATTTTGCTAGAGAAACCACTGGTGGCTTCCAAAATGTTTTCAGTTAAGATGGGTTCATATTTAAATAGTTGTCTTTAATCTCTTCATTTTTATAGTTCAGTCTTAAAGACAAAATTTACCTTGCTCAATAAATGGATTGATTTGGCTTTATAAAGCCATATATTTCCTGTTTATCATGTTAAACCCTGGTGGGTTGTTTCTTTTGGGTAGAGATGGAATTTCTGGCTCTGAAAAGTAAGGGTCTAATCCCAGCTGCATTAAGGACTATTTCTTTCTCTTTTTTTGACTGTAGCGTAGTGGTATGAGGTGGATATAGAAAAGCATTCTTCAGCACTATAGTGGGAGAAGCACAGGAAAAAATTTCATGACACAAAGTACAGTGATAGTTCCTGATGTTGCCACTTCATGCTCCATGACACGGCACGTGTGACTAAGAGAGACTTTCACTGAAATAGTTTTGTGCTGGTGTCTGTTAATACAGGCAGTCACATGGATAACTGTAATACAGAACAATATGTGACAATCCTAAGGTATTCTGTAAGCACCAAAGATGATTATGAAGTTACCTGGTCTGGATTGAGTGACCCAGGCAAAATTAATTTTAGAGTCATTGATCCTTGAATTACTTACAGGAAGAATCATGACTTGGTATCTTTCCTAAGTTTTATTAGACCGCTGCCCAAACCAAAAAAAGCCAAGGTGATATCACCAATTTAGGATTTTTTAATGCTAATATTGATCATTGTGCATGAAAAATGAAGCAAGACAGCTGTTACATTGATCTCAAATGTTAGCGAATGGGTGGTAGATCTTAATCCAAGCAGTGCTTAGCTTTGCCATTCCTTGCCTCCCAGTAGAGCACAGTGCCATCTTTAACATAACTTCCTTGAACAAGCATAGGCTTAATGGACTAACTTACTAGAAATTGCAGATGTGACAAATTTTGTTCCCACAAAACTTTAAAACCTAGAACATGCTTCAGTAAGCAGTTGTGTGAGGCACTTTTTTTGGATGCAACAATTGAGAGAATTTTCAGATGTTTTCTGTGTTTTTTATTGCTTGCAGGACGTAATCACGAATGAGCATGGGATAAGAAATATTAACCATAGTCATAAATCAGTGAACCATTTCAAGAGAAAATTTGATTTTAATATTATTTCACATTTTACTTTTCCTCAAAAAGCACTGTTTATCCAGTCAATATGGCCTTTTCAACAAAGATACAACACTTGATATTGTATCAATATCAAGGATACACAGTTAACATTTTCAGTGTGTCTCTTGCTAGAAATTGGCATGAAGTGTTTAATGTGTAGAATTGTTGACCTTTTTTTTTTTAAAATCATTCATAACTAATTTTACTATTGAAGCTGTCCAGTTTATTAAGCAAAGGAAATATTCCCTGAAGCAGATGAATTGGACTTGGAGGGGGTGGAGTGGTATGTCTGACAGTCTTGAAAGATTTTAGAACTAGTAAGAACTAGATTTTAGAACTAGTAAGTCTTGTCAGCTTGTCAGTTCTAAGTTATAAATTAAAAGAGGGAAAATGTTTTTCTGTCCATTTTATCAATGAGCAAGCTAGGGATGGAACTGAACTAGAATGAATGGGAAAAAAGTACTTTTTCAACTTTCAGAAGAAACCACACCTGTCAGGAGTTTGTTCCTGACTTCAGCACATGATGGTATGGGGGTTTAGGCAATGAATTCTCCCCATTCAGTGTTATAATTCACAGTAAAGCTTTGACCAGAAGCACGGACTACTTGACAATTGTTTACCTAATTTTAATTGTTGATGATGTGTCTTGGTCTTAATACAGTTTATTGTCATTTCAAATGAAATTTAAAACATTTTAGAGCAATACAAGTAAAAATATCCTACAATCTATTTAAACTTAAAAAAAAAAAAAAATTAGCCATGTTTTCACTTTTTTTTCCTTCGGCTCTCTTCCAAAACCATAAAAAGGCAACATAGTCCAGGATGCCTCCCAGATAATAAACAGAAATCTTTTTTTCAGTGATTTAAAAACTGGTGGAAGCATGGCAGCCAATGCTGGGATGGGATCCCTCAGTCTGATCACAGAAGTTCTAACTTAAACCTTCCCTTAAATGAATTCCTGATACAAATATTTGTAATACTTTTTATATTCTCAGTTGATTAAACATCCCAGTTAGTTGTTTACTTTTCTTCCAAACCATAATGTTGTTGGTTCATACTCAGTTCAGCTGTCATCCTCAGTTTGTTGTGAGACACATAGCCTGGCTTTTGTGAAGATGAATGGAAAGCCTGAAACCTGTTACTTGTGAAACTTTTATTCTTGGAAACAGTTAGAGTTTAACCAGAATTATATTTCCATGTTCCATATTTTAAATGCACACACATGTAGGGGAATTTCTCTTTCTCTATATGCTAAAGTTACAGGTGGGAGTCAAACAAATGAAAGGAATGGTAACCGTTATCTGCAGTTATCAGCAGATCTAAAGCTATCAAGCTATCTCATTTGTAGTACTACAAGAATTGCAGCAGGATATGAACATTTTGTGGTGTTTGTCTTAATTACGTACTTAAATTCTAAATGAGCTCTTAATCTCAAACTGCTTTCAGATCTATGAATTCTTTAGTAGAAAAAAGACAAAATAAGTTTTAAATCACTGATAATGGACTGAAGATTGTTTCAAGAAACTTGTTTATAAATCTGATTATTTTATATAAAGCAATTCTGAATTAAACTGAAAAACAACTGTTAGGTTTCTGAAACAACAAACCACTTTGTTTTTATCCTAATATCTAGGATATTATTTACCTGTATTGTTTTGGAGGCCAATTCTACAATTATTTTATGCAGCTTCCGACTGGAACATCTCGTCAAAGTTACCCAGCTACCAGCTATCAGGACTTCAGCAACTGGGAATCTCTAATGAAAATCAAAGAGGGACTGCTAAGACAGAAAGAGATTGTGATCGATCGGTAAGTAACCTGCTCCTGCTGCATTGATTAGATTAGATGATGTAAAAGCTATGATGTAGAAACTGACTTTCAGGAGAGCTGCTTACTCAGTAAAGTTGTTAGGTTCCAATCCAGCAAATATTTATGCACAAATATAGGGGAGCTAATCCTTGCTAGGAGAGAAGACTGGCTGCTGGCTAAAAGTCTTTTACAGAGTTGGAAATTTACTTAGGGGTTTAATGCCTCTGCAGTGGAAGAGGGTGAGTGAGACCAACAGCCAGTTCTGCTGCCAGCTTCCCCAGCTTAGCTTCTTACCAGTCTGGGGGTTTGTATCAGACATCTTTCCACTTGTACAGGTCTTGAAAGTGACTTGCAAGATGGAAGCTGGTAAACTGCATTGCCCTGATTTTCTTTTCCATGGCAAGTACAGAAATGCAATATATTTGAAGCCAGTTGATAAAGCTTTGGGAAATTGACCTTTGCAGTAACATTCAGTGGTAAAATCCTATTCAAATGCTTATACAAATTATTCGGATAATAAAATATTAAATCCAGGATCTATATGTCAGTAAATACATCGCTGCTTATTAAAATTGCTATCAATCTGAAATGGGCCTTGGCAGCAACTCACTGCTGTTAAGTTTCTAGTATATCTGAAGTAATTTCTGGAGTTCTTGATGTTTGGATAAAATTAAGCCTTAACGAGGAAAATGTGCTTTTAATAAAGGGCTTGAGCTTAATGAAGCTTACACTAAATTAGCAGATGTCATCAGGAGCTGCAGAGTTTGGATGTAGGACATTTAAGAAGGGCATTTTTATATTTGACGTAATTATCATTTGGCTTAGTCTGTGTTTTAATAATAAACTCTTGGCTCATGGCTGAAAGAGGAGTGGTTGTTCTGATCTTGAAATAGCTGTGCCCTCATATTGATACTTTCCTCCACAGCACAAGGAGAACTGTGTAAAGCAGGTGTGTGTTGATCACAGGAATGTCAGGCATCCATTATGAATGCTTTTATATTTCATCTAGCAGTTCCTGTCGTTAAATGGGTGGAGATACACAACTTGGGCATAATTTACTTTGGAACCAGGAGAATTATGCTTGTGCAAGATCTGTTCCTTCCTCTGTTGCAACAGAGCAAGGAATTGCAGTGGTTTAAGGTGTTTCTGTCTCCTAGCAATCTGGCTAGTACCTCTGTTAGCATTGTCATGAAGGTCAGCATCAGCTTCCCCAGTTTGATGTGGACATTAATGTGCGTTTACCTGCCTCTGCAGCTGAAGATGGTATGCAAAGTTATGAACTGCAGCAGCTGAGGCATGGGTACACCATCCCACTCTGCCAGCTCTCCTGCAGAGGTGGTGAGCTCCCAAGGGAATAAGCAGTTAAAATGGAAACATTCTTAACTGATACTTCGATCTCCTCTGTCAGAGCCTTTTGATCAACTGCTTAAAGGCTGTCTAAGTTACAGTAGTTTTTTCAGGCTTGCTATATCAGTAGTAATGCTGTATAACCTGCAGCCCACCTCTCAGGACCCAAGCTGTCAGCAGCATTTGTAAGTACGTTGCCCATGATGGCTAGGAGAGGTCTTTGGTGTCTCTGCTGAGCTTATTGTCCTCTGCACTCTACATGAAGGCTTGTTATACAGTGGCAACTTAAAAAGCAGTTCATGTTATTCTTCTCACGCTGGAAATGCCTTTACAGTCAAGGGTGAAGTTTCTGAAGTGACAGTTTGTAACCTAGTTGCCTGCTAATGATACTTGAAGAGGAAGAAAAGCTATTTCTTGATATCCAACGGCAGTGTGCTGGTTCTTTTTTTGTACAAGTCATACTTTCGTGTGACTTAATGATAGTGAATACAGTTCTTTCTGGATTTCTGACCAGAAGTTGGTTGAGATGATTCCTTTTCATCAAGCTGAAAAGGCAGAATACACTCTAGAAGCTACTGAAGCAAAACAAAGACCACTTAGTGATGTTAGAGTTGTTCCCTTTAAGTAGACACTTGGTGTTACAGTTAAGCATGTTGTAAATTATAATAATGTAGTATAATAATACATGACAGAAAAGGATCTTTTTTTAATATTGAGGCTCCATTTGGGCAAAATATTTGCCTTAAAAAGTTACTATTTTAAAATGAAATAAAATTATTTAAAATAGATGGTTTGTAAGATTTAAAATTAGTACAAAGTGATGTTGCATATTTAGAAAGATTTTACAACAGATTTTTTTCCTTTTTTTAAGAAGAGGTAGTGTTTTCTATGACAAATAAAAATATTTTTGGTTTCACTCATGGAGAAAATGATATATAGCTGCTGTCCAAAATCCTAGAAATAGAACTCCATTATAAAGCACTAGTGTTATTTCTTATTAGATGGGGTATTAATAAGACTTAAGTGTGAATAATACCTTTCTTCAAGGCACTAAGTGGCACTAAGTGAAAATTTGGTATTATCCATATTTAATACATGGGGACACAAGGCCTTGCACTGAGAGTCAAGATGGTGTTTGGGAGTAAACCTAAGTCTTCCAGCTCCTGGTCTTCCTGAATTTACTTTAAACTTCTTTTTAGAATTTGAATTTATTTGGGAATAGTGACCTAAAATAAAAATACAAAGTTTGCTAAAGTGTGGTTAATTAGGATTCAAGATGGTGGTAGTTAAATTACAGAATTTATGCTTTCAGGAGGTAGAGGAGGAAATCTTTTGTTGACTGAGGTTTGGTAGTAGGTGTTTGCTGAGAAGGCCCTTCCTACCTGTGGTTCTCATGGAGTTTTGAAAGGTGTGGTATCCTTAAGTCATGTCTCATGCTGAATTTACAAACCTGTAACTGGAGGATGCCAGCAAGACTTATTTAATTCTGGGGGGACAGAAGCTTGGGAGAGACCAAGCTGCCTGGAACCTGCTGCTGCCTGGAAGCCAGAGGAGTGGGACAGCAGCCCGCGTGGTGCTCAAGACCCAGCTGTTTGCTGCTGACAGGTACAAGGAACAGCTGCATGAAAAGAAGCACACTGGGAACACCCTTCTCTTGCCCTTGTCACCAGCCTCCCTTTCAACCACAGGGTCATTAACCAGTTTTTTTAAGGTTAGACCCTCTTCTATTGGGAATTGCACTGGGACTCCGCTAATCCAGGAGGTGGAGGAGATTAACATCACTTCGCACCACACACCTTGTTCTGCATAGCAATGCTTAAATCTGTTGATAAGTAGGAAGTGGAGGCTCTGTACAGGGCCTTAAGCTGTTCTACCTTTACCTTGTTAAAAAAGGGAGGAGGGGCAGGAGGAGGAAAGAAACCTGCTGCCTGCTTCCCTTCTTTGCACACAATGATAGAAAGGCAACAACAATTCAGCCCTTCTGGATTAGATTATTAAACTTCCTTGTTTTGCATCAGAAATCTAACAGTTTGGAATAGCTGCAAGTAAGTTTCAAATAGTCATTAAAAACGATTCAAGGAATAATGCTCACAATGTAAATCATCGTACTTGGATGCTTTGGTGTGTCACTGGAAATTCAAATCCGTGAACAGAATTTTTAAAAACCCAAACAGCCACTTGCATCTGTGAAAAGAACAAGTGGCTTGATTTTTATTCTATACACTGTGTTGAACAGCAGATTTAGTAATAGATTAGTTAAAATTGATTTGATTAGTGTAGTCTGTTCAGTGTAACAAATGCATATTTTTGAGTATAAATGAACAGAGTAGCATAAATGGGTGGGTTTAAAAGTTGTTTTGGTTTGCTTTTTAAAACCACTCTAGGAATCACTGCCAATTTAATGAATTGGAGCCTGAAATTGGCTTTTAAGTCTGCTCTTAAAAAAATGGGATGGAGACTGTACCTTTAGGAAGTGTAAACGTGGTGTGAGGAAGGGAGCGTGGCGTATGTGTGTGCATGGGATCACAATGGCACTTCTTAAAGGTCTGTGTCCTGTTTTCTCCATGTAAGAGCTGTTGGTACAGGCTGTGAATAAGGACTTAAGAGGAAATCCTGTCTGTAAGAGGAAATCTGCTGCTGTAACACTTATTACTAGAATGTCTGTCACCTACTGTACAAAATAATTGGATTATATCATTGCCTTACTTCTCTGGCAGTTTAGTATGTAACACTACATTATATTTAGCACCAGAGGGAGCCAGTAGTGTTTGTATTGGTTTAGAAAATTACGGCATCATATTTTAATTCTTTGTCCTCTGTTCAGTACATTCACAACACTGAAATTACAGTGTTTGGTACAATTGCGAATGTCTCTTGAGACTGGCCAGCCACTGTAGATGTGTCTAGTGTGGTCCTAGCACTGTTTGTTTGGCAGGGACTGCATGTAGTGGGTGCGTGAATAAATGCCAAATATCTGAACATATGACATAAGCTGCTGAGAATAACACTGTGCATGCGGTGTTCTCCTCCAGACAGCTTAAGGATATTTGAAAAGCTTTTTAAGGAAAGGTAGATAAAGAAGTATAATTTCAGTTAATAGCTGTCATTCCTCAGGGCATAATAACATTTACATTTTTAAAACAGTTGCTAAATCATTAGCTTTCCATCCGTAGCTGAATTATGCTCAGATGTTTTCATTGGGACAGTAGAATTAGATTTTCTTTGCCTTGTGTCAAATTGTCCTGGCTTCAGTAGTTGGCATCAAACTGTACATGCTCTGATAGTGCTCATGTTACTGCTAGTATAAAGCTGTAATTCTCTTAATTTTGGGTGGTCTGTTAAGATCTGCAGCATTAGCGTATCCAGTCATTTTTGAGGACGCTTTGAAGCTTTATGCCACTCAGGGTCTGAGTGCATGCATGTATAACTGGGAGTCCTGTGCAGAGAGTAGGGCTGTGAGGAACCTCCTCAGAGTGTCTTGCTGTGTAAAATAATCTTTGCTTGCAATAATAGCTTGAAAAAGATGCATTTATCTTTTTCTGATATCACCAATCACCCAGGTAACTTGTGGTTGAGGCTTTTGTATCTTGGACTGCTAAACTCTCAGGAAGATTTTGTTACAGAGTAATTATTTTAGCAGGTTTAAAAGTTCA